CTGAAGTATGCAACCACGCCCTCTCCCACTGTGGGATATGGAGTGTACTTTCTCCCCTTTCTTTCCAACTTTTCACTGAAATTGTCGATGGATGGAGTTCTATTCCTGCTCTTAATTCCTGTCCCACGTCGCTTTCATGCAAACCCTCCCCTTACGGGTAATGTACAGACCCCCCCCCCTCTTGGGTAAATTATCCCCTCCCAACGAATCGCTAACTACGCTTTGCAGCGTTGGAAGACCTCTGGAGTAGTAGTCCAACAATATTGCCCACTTCAGGTATTGAGTACTTTGGACATGGTCCAGAACCACAGGACGACTCCGACGGAAGCGCCTTCATGTTCGACATCGATCTCGAAGAAGACGTAGGTTCTTACGTTGTCCTGAGCACAGTTTCAAGCACCAACAACGAGTCAAATTGACCTTGGGTTCTTGCTGGTCATCCCTTGAACTTGCCTATTTAGTTTTAGCCCTCGGACGTTGGAGCGGTAGTGGTTGGGTACGAGAAGCACTTCAACTACCACAAGCTGATGAAAGCTGCCAACTATCTCCAGTGCAGACACTGCCTATTCTTGGCTACAAATGAGGATGAGACATGTCCAGGACCAAATCCAGATGTAGTAACTCCCGATGCAGGTCTTCACTTTACCTCATACTCAAAATACTGGGTATAAACGAAACCCCGAATATTTCAGGTCCACTGGTAGCAGCTGTACGTTGTGCTTCTGGGAGAGAGCCAATCACTGTCGGAAAGCCGAACACCCCAGCTTTTGACTATATAAGAAGACGATGGAATATAAATCCCGAACGGACGATGATGATTGGCGACAGGTAGGAGGAAAGAGACTTCAGCTCTGAATAGACATTAGTGCTCAGTTTTCGTTTCAGGACCAACACCGACGTCAAGTTTGGCCGAGATCACGGACTGAAGACGCTGCTGGTGCTGTCCGGGTGCCACCAACTTGAAGACATCATGGAAAACTATAACAGTGACCAACTCGATATGGTCCCTGACTACTACATCACCTGTTTGGGAGCTTTACTATCACGTCGAGATCATGCGTGAAAACGGGGAATATTTATCTTGTGAATATTGATTGATAATTTATGTTTTTTTTTCTGCCAATCGCTGTGTGACGAGTTTTCCTTCTTTTTTTTATGAGAACGAAGATTTGATTCTCTATGGTGTGTGACATTTATGTACAAGGGTGACAAGTAATACCTGTACGATTGCACTTGTAGCGGTAATCCTTGATAGCGCGCTATGAAGGGAAATAAAGGCTCAACGGCAAGCCCTTTATAACTAGCGCTAGCTCTTGTGCATTGCCTTGTCGCGCTGTCCTTGTGCTCTCTTCGCACCGCTGGGACGGCGAAAAAATTTTAATGGTAGAGTGGGGGTTGATCTTCTTTTATTTTGATCTACCGCCTATTAACGAGTATGCCTTCCCAAAATGAAATTAAAGGCACGCTCCGCGTTCAAAAATGGTGATTTGTGAGGCTCACAAGATTGCGAACAACATCGAAGTGAAGAAAAGAAGCTAGAAGGCCTGCCCGAAATACCCTATACAGAACCTCATGCTGTGCTGCGCTTGTATGTGGCTAAGACGAAGAAGGGGTGTGGTCGGACGAGTTTTCACTTATTGGTATCAGCTCTTACTCTTTACCACCTCGTTCCCAACGACCATAGCCTCGTCGGGTGCGCTCCCCTCACGTATTGTTTAGAGATGAAATCGGAAAAACTGCACCAAAAGGAAGCCTCCAGGGACGAAAGCTGGGCGTTGCCGCGGCCAGGGCGGGCAGTAGCCTCGTGGCGTGCGGGCGCGCTCCCCTTATGTATTGTTGAGCTGCGAAAGCAGTACATCTTCCATGCTTGCGGACAGGCCTACCTCCTCCAAAGCAGGCGTCTCAAATGAACGCGAAGCGTTAGCCTTGACTAAAGTGAGCCGGGACGACGCTTTTTGCCGATTGAGTTGTTGTGAAACAAACACCCCCCCCCACCTACTTCCGGAAAGCGCTGCTGCCTCCTAGCCGCTTTTGCACAGCTTTTTGGCCCTGTGGAGGAGATCGAGGATCGACACAGATCGAGGTATCCGTATCCTCATAAACAAATAGCCCCACCATTTCTGATATGTCCCATTTCAACTGACTCGAGGGTGGAGTGAGGTGGCCTCGAATGAGCCGGTCTTCAGACGGCGGTGGAACTTTCTTGGGTCTTTTCCAAGCATTCAAGGAGGAGTGCAAACGATACGCCAAGCAGAAACGTCTAGCGATTTGCAACAAGGTAGGTAAACAGCTCTAGGAAAGCTATTTCCTAGTGTTTTCGCCGTAGCCGCTAGGGCGTGACACGGAGCTGGGTTTGAAGCGGCGGCCGTTTTTCTCCACTTGTTGTCGCTTGTCCGCTCCGTCAGTCGATGGAGAACGGGCTGACGCCGCGCCAGTCATCTATCACGTTACCTGAAAGTTGGCCCAGTTCCAGGCAAAGTTGTACAACATGATGCAAAACGAAGCGAATGCGGAAGAACTGACTTCGGACAGCTTTGCAAGCCTTCTTGATGAATTTGACACCTTCATTTGCGGAGCAGACGGTGAGTTCGCAGCGTATTCCTTGTAGTTGAGATGTCAGTACCGAGCAATCGCCATTTACAGGCCTGGTCTGGCTCCGCGAAGGCGTCATCACTGAAGCTTCAAGCCTAATTAATCTACTGATTAACCATAAGAAAAAGGTCATCATACTATCTAACGACACCACCCATACTCGAGCGGAACACGAGAGGAAACTGGCTGAACATCGATTCAGTCCGAGAATCACGAAAGTGAGTCGATATCGAGCTCTCTGGAAACCAGAGTCAGGTCGTTATTTCGATTCCTGATGCTGTGATAACGGCGCATATTGCCACTGATTGCTAAACTCCTTTATCCCAAAGGCAGTATAGACGTGGAATTGGAACATGGCATAGATAGGCTGGACATTTCTTAATTAGAACAACTGCTGAATGCTTGTCTGTGTTGCCGGCAGGCGAACATGACTTACAACTGCTAAGAAACCTAAATATGTCAGGAAAAGCTTAGCCGCTGCAACTTTCAATCCAAGTACGCAGCCACGCCACTCCCGTCTCAGAAATCGGGATGGTTCCAAGTGGACGTTATGTTGTGCCCAAAGCGCTTGAAAATGCGTGTGCGCGCTTCCACTAGCCTGCGAATTCTGTGGGAGTTTGGAAAGGAAAGGGAGCGCCGAGATGGATGAACCACCCCTAGAGCTGACGGCACTCCACATAACACGGGGAATGATAAGGACTGATAGCAGTTACTGTAGGGTTACTCCACCAAGAGGGTGCGCAAGCGTTTCCAAGGCATTCACAACCACGGCGGTCTACTACTACAAGCGTTTAAGGAAGTTCTCATACTCATATACGCGGCAGCGATGAGCTGAAGAAACCCTGGGGTGGATGAAATACTCAGAGGATGAGAGGTTGGAATCCCGCGGCGGTTGAAAAACTTGTCACTTACGGTGGAGACCCGTGCTCGCACAAATAAGTTGGTTCACCTACGCTGGGTTAAGAATGTTCCAAAAACAACAAACACCCTGAAACAGGCCCCTCGTTGAAGCTGGGGTTACTGTAATCTACACACCAGAGAGTCCCACCGCACTAGAATAACGCCTGTGATGTCAAAAGGATGTTTTTACCAGTGCTATTTCATTTCAGGATTTGATAGTGACACCAGGGCAAATTGTAGCTGATCACATCAAGAACGCAGGGAACTACTATGATAAGAAAGTTTACCTCGTCGCCGCAGAAGGCGTTGAGGACGAGCTTAAAAATAATGGTACCCTCATAATTTACTGCAAATCTCGATGGGATTTTTGGCCAGCTAAGCTTCTATGTCTTCAGGAATAGAATACTTTGGGCAAGGACCAGACACGTTGGAATCGTCAGGGAAGGAAGCTGTTGTTTTCAACACCGATATGGCCGTCAAGGTTTGGATTTGCAGTCCATATCAGGGGTCAGAAAGGGGCGTGCTGGCGACGGAAAGTACTCCATGATTGCTTTCAGAGAGAAGAAGTATGCGCTGTGGTGGTTGGCTTCGATAAGCATTTTAATTACAAGAAGATGATGAAAGCAGCCAACTACCTGAAGAATCCGAATTGCCTCTTTCTGGCGACAAACGACGACGCCACATTTCCGTGGATATGTAGTCCCAGACGCTAGGACATGGCAAGACTAGCGTACTATCCCCTGCCAAATTGTTCTAAGCAGCATTCATGATATCAGGGCGCCTCGTCGCTCGTCAGTGAGCATTGGGCAGCCCGAGGGACATAAGTCGATTGCTGGGAAAGCCGTACCTCCAGCCTTGAGTTCAATCAATCAAATAGGGCGATAGCGAGGAAGACTAGGAATGATTTCAGCAGCTCCTGGTCAGCATCAGATTTAGATGCACCAGTATCGAGCCGAAGGACGGGGGGGGGGCGACTGTGCCACGTCACGTCTACTGGTCTGCGCCCTCTCATCAAGATAGTGTCCGACGTAGTCTTGAAGTCGTTTCAGACATAGTATGCATGGAAAATCGCGTACGAAATCGACGCATTTAGCCATTTAGCTATGAGCACGATCTTGGGTACAGGGCCAGACAAGCAGGCATGTTATGTGGCATAGGCGCATCTATTCCTCCTTCCCACTATCTTAACCCCTCCAGTCTCTCAGCTCATGTTGAGCTCTCAAAGCTCCCTTTCCAGGATAAACACAGACGTGAAATTCGGTCGAGACCACGGTCTACGCACACTGCTTGTGTTCAATGAGGCACATCAAATGGACGAGTTGGAGAAGATACGGTCAAGTGGACGAGTCGATCTGCTGCCCGACTACTACGCTACCTCTATTGCATCAATCCTTCCACAAATCAAACAACCATGAAGTCTTATTCAAACTTATAACTGGGTAATTAACCACGGCTTTTGAGCTGGTGATCTTTAAGCACTAACTACATGTACTCACGATGAATCAATAAATGTGCACAGATTTCTAAAACTTTTGAAAGATAAACGAGATGGTCACCACTCGTGATGATCGGTAGCTGGAAAGAAGCTGCCGCACTTACACTCCTTATCCCTGAGTCAGAGTAGGCGTGGCATTTGAACATGGCACGGAACTGGTTACTCGTGGAATATTCCAGTCTGGGACAACTGTCATCTTGTTCTGTGTTGGACAGAGACACGACAACAATTGTGTCAAGATGAAAATATCACCAAAAGCATAGACACCTT